GGGGCTGGAGAGATGGCTCAGAGGTTAAGAGCATTGCCTGCTCTTCCAAAGGTCCTGAGTTCAATTCCCAGCAACCACATGGTGGCTCACAACCATCTGTAATGGGGTCTGGTGCCCTCTTCTGGCCTGCAGGCATGCACGCAGACAGAATATTGTATACATAATAAATATTTAAAAAAAAAAAAGAAGTATTTAAAAAAAAAAAAAGAGCTAGTTCCGGGACAGGCACCTGTCTCGAATCCCTGTCTCGAAAAACAAAAAACAAAAACAAAAAAACAAAACAAAACAAAACAAAAAAATACCTAACTAAAACGGCTTCATGCTGATGAAATTTAAAACTAGAAAGACCCTAGAGCAGTGTGCACACATGTATACACAAATATACAGAAAAGAGCAGACTAGAAAAGGCACCGAACTACATTATTTTCTGTAAGTATGTTACTACACAGATTGGACGCAAAAATTACTTTAAATCAGCTCTTTATTTCCTATTCCTCTATAACAAGCCAGAAAGGATCTAAAATCAAATTCATTTCAGGAGGCAGAAACAAGAGGACCTCTGTTAGTCTTAGAGACTAACCTCTGTCCTTAGAGTGCTTGCTGGGATTAAGGGCTTGTGCCACCACACCTGTCCCATCCTTTTCTTAATAAATTCTAATTTTGTTTCATGGAAGGGAAAGGGAGGGAAGAGAGGGGAGAGGAGGAGAGAGGAGGGGAGGGGAGGAGAGGAGAGAGGCCTGGTGGGGGCATATCTCAGTTGGTAGACTGCTTACTTAAGACACAGAAAACCTGGATGAAAATCTGGTATGGTGGCATAGGGAGGTGGAGACAGCAGAACTAGAAATTCAAGGTCATTCTTTGTGAAAACAGGGAGTTTAAACCAAAACAAAAGGGCAGGAAGGTGCTCCTGGATTCTATAATCCTGAGAGCTGATACACAAGCACCTTAAATAGTTCTGTTGCTAAAGGAAATGTGTAGTTTTTAATTTACTTCACCTCTAAAATATATAGACATTTTTAGTCTCTTTTGGATACTTACTCACTAAGCTGAGGAAAATTTTTATATACCAAAAACATAACAAAAGCTGCACATAAGAAAATGGACACCAGTATAAGGAGTGACATTCTTGCTGAACCAGCTTCTGCACAAGGTTTGTCTGAAAGAAAAAAAAGTGTAATTAAAATAAATCGTATTTCAAGCTAATAACTTCCTCAAACCCTTTTCTCCCAAAAGCCATTCATACTTTTGCCTAAAACTATGACATTAAACCAATTAATTCAACTGCTATAAGAACCACTTATTGGTCATCTTCCAACATCCAAGGGGCACACGCAGGCTAGACTCTTTAAATTTAAGGCCAACTTTGTGCACGTAGTGTAGGACTGCCAGAGATACATAGTAAGGCCCCATCTAAAACAAAAAACAAACAAAAGACTGAGGAAGATACCTGACATTGACCTCTGGCCTCTACATGTGCACACACCCACACAAACATGTGCATACCACACTCACATACATAAATTACTTTTAGCATGACGGTTCAAACATGTCAAGATCTGAAGGTCTGAGGCTAGCCTGGGATAGATAACAAGACTTCTGCTCAAGGACTGATAGCTATGGGGCAGCAGAGACTGGTGAAGCAGGTGCTGTTCTGAAAAGTTCATTCAGTTCTCAGCACTCACATAGTAACTCACAACCATCCAAAACTCCAGTTCCAGGGAATCTGATGCCCTCCCTCTTCTAGTTTCCACAGGTGCCAGCATGTGGGGCATATACATACATGCAGCCAACACTCATACATAAAACTAACCTTTAAAAACAGAACAGTTGTTATGGAGCCGGGGAAATGGCCAAGTAAGAGTGCATATATGCAAACATGAGAACTGAGTTTGATCCCCAGACTCAGCCAGCCTAGTCCAAAGAGGGAGCTTCCTACTCACTAAGTAATGCACGGAGCAGTAAAGGAAGGTACCTTTGTGTTCTGGGCTCTATCTGTATGAGCCTAAGCGATCATATCCACTCACATGCTTACACCATACACACAACACACAAAACAAGCTACAAAAACATCAGTATGTATTAAAACAACTTAATCAAAAATGTAACTTTCATTCCTAGGACAAAAGACTAGGTAAAATATGGCAGGCAGCATACACTTAAATAATCCCAGCAATTAGGAAACTGAGGCAGGAAAATAGGGAACTGGAGATAAACCTGGGCTAAGTAAGGAAACCACCTCAAAGAAAACACACACACACACAAATTTGTTTTGGTTTTCTTGTCACATTGGTGTGGGAGAATTGTCTGTATTCTGTCAATCATGTTTTAAATAAATGCTGATTGGCCAGGCAGGAAGTATAGGCAGGAAAACCAAACAGGAAGTAGAATTGATGGGAGAAGCAAGATGTGAGCTGTCCTGCTGAGAAAGGTGCTGAACCACGCGGCTAGCATAGATAAAAACAATGGGTTAGCCGGGCAGTGGTGGCTCAAGCCTTTAATCCCAGAACTCAGGAGGCAGAGGCAGGTGGATCAGTTTGAGGCCAGCCTGGTCTACAAGAGCCAGTTCCGGGAAGGGCACCAAAGCTACAGAGAAACCCTGTCTCGAAAAAACAAAACAAAAAACAAAAAAACCCAAACAAACAACAACAATGGGTTAATATAAGCTACAAGAGCTAATATGTAGCCTGAGCTAATGGGCCAATCAGTTTTATAACTTATGGAGATCTCTGTGTGATTTTTTTTTTTTTTTTTGGTTTTTCGAGAGAAGGTTTCTCTGTAGCTTTGGTGCCTGTCCCCGAACTAGCTCTTGTAGACCTGACTGGCCTCGAACTCCCAGAGATCTGCCTGCCTCTGCCTCCCGAGTGCTGGGATTAAAGGCATGCACCACCACCGCCCGGCATCTGTGTGATTTTCTTTGGGGCTAAACAGCTGGGGGTACCAGGCAGGACAGAAACCCCCAACAAGCAGGCCCCCTTCATGTTACATCACATAAAAAAAAGTAATCTTAGAAGATAAATAAGAGGGCCTGGCTTGGTAGCCCACACCTGCCTTTAATCCCAGCATTTGGGGCAGAGGCAGGTGAATTTCTGTTTGAGGCCTGTCTGGTCTACAGAGGCAAGTACTAGGATGGCCAGGCTACATAGAAAAGCCCCGAAATCCTGTCTCAAAACAAAACAAAAGATTAATAAGAGGAACATATAAATACTGAGTTCAGAGAAACAGTTTTAATGGGCTGTCATCAAAGCAAAGACAAGCAAGCCGTTTTTATCATGCCTGTTGTCTTTTAAATCTACCTGAAGGGCTAAAGAGATGACTCAGCAGGTGAAGACACTTGCCACCAAACCTGACAGGTAACCTGAATTCCATCCCTGACATCCACAAAAAAGCAAAGGTAGATCAGATTCCTGCAAACTGTCCTTGATCTCCACATGCATGCCCTGGAACACTGTGTTCTGGCACACACGCACATGCCCATCTACTCTCAAATCAATCAATCAATAAATGTAAAAAACCTTTTAACCTACCATCTAGAGTTAACTTGTCCCAGCCCACATGCCACATCTACCCTCAAATAAATAAGTAAATGTTAAAAAAAAAAAACCTTTTTAACCTAGCATCTAGAATTAACTTGTCCCAGTCCAAAGTTTTAGCTTATTTCATTAAGAAAGTCTATGAATTCAAAGTGTTTAATAGCAATATAATCTGTTTGTTTTAAAGAATTTTTAAAATATTTATTTATTAAGTATACAATATTCTGTCTGTGTGTATGCCTGCAGACCAGAAGAGGGCACCAGACCCCATTACAGATGGTTGTGAGCCACCATGTGGTTGTTGGGAATTGAACTCAGGACCTTTGGAATGCTTTTAACCGCTGAGTCATCTCTCCAGCCCCAATTTGTTTTTTGAGACAGGGTTTTTTTCTCTGTGTAGCGCTGGCTGTCCCGGAACTTGAGTCTGTAGACGAGGCTGGCGTCAAACTCAGATCTGTGTGCTTCTGCCTCCTGAGTGCTGGGATTAAAGGCATGCAGCATCACTACTGCCCAGCAATAGTAACATGATTTAACATTAACTTTAGATTAGTTTTCACTATGATTTCTAAGAACGAATGGCAGATCTTCTTCCCACTTCTGGCAATTCTACATAAGTCACAGACTGACAGCATACTTCTCTGTATGCTCGGCACCTACTATGTTCAATCTCTGCTTCCAAGAAACAAGCAAAACCATCATAAAGAATACGAAATCAGCCGGGCCGTGGTGGTGCATGCCTTTAATCCCAGCACTCGGGAGGCAGAGGCAGGTGGATCTCTGGGAGTTCAAGACCAGCCTGGTCTATAAGAGCTAGTTCCAGGACAGGCTCCAAAGCTACAGAGAAACCCTGTCTCAAAAAAACCAAAGAAAAAAAAATATGAAATTAAAGGGCTTAAAGACTTCATAGGAAGGGCAGATTACTAGGTGGACATGATAAAGGCAATTTTTAGTTGAAGATTAAAATAGGGGTTTAAAAAAATCTAACCTGTACTGTATGCTCCTAAATACATTTTAAGGCCAACAGTCTTTTAAAGTCAAAACATTTTTTCCTAAAACATAGTGCCCTGTGGCTCAGCTTTGAAGTTAAAACTTAAATAAGGCATTTGTTATATTATCTGGAAAACTAAATTTTTTTTCTCTGCACTAAGAATTCACCAGTCCTACAGTAGGGGACAACTGGGACATGTTTCAGAAATGGCTAACTGGGCTACAGAGCACTAACTAACACTAATTTTTTCTTTTCTTTTTTTTCTTTTTTCTTTTTTTTTTTTTTGAGACAGGGTTTCTCTGTAGCTTTCGAGCTTGTCCTGGAACTAGCTCTTGTAGACCAGGTTGGCCTCAAACTCAGAGATCCCCCTCCTCTGCCTCCTGAGTGCTGGGATTAAAGGTCTGTGCCACCACCATCCAGCTGATAGTGATGTAACTTCTCAGGTTTAACCTGACACCTATGCTCTTCACTGTCTGAAACTGAGTCTCCTCCACCCATATTAGCATTATGCTTACCAGAAAAGAAAACAAGGAAGAGGTGCACAAACACTTGAGTGACATTCAATTCTGAGGCTCTATTTTCACACGTCATACAGTGTTGATAATTATGGTCCAATAATGCTTCTGCATAATCCTAGTAAACCTAAAGGCTAGAATACATTGCATTTATACTTCTGAGCATAATTCAATTATAAGTATAGTTTTCATCTGAATCTGTACCATGCATAATACTACTGCTTCTTTGTACAACCATGTTAGATGGGGGTGCTTTTCTCTGGCAGCCACCGTGCCTGCACTTGAAATGCATTGGCTTCTAGATCTTCTCCAATACTACCATTATGCTTGTTAATACTGTAATCTAATATCATCATACTCTTACCCAACTCTCTGCCTATCTAGCTTTCTCCCAGGTCAAAGGTACTTCTTGAGAAAGAGTCATGCTTTTTCAACCTACTAGTCCATATACTTTCCCTGCTTCAATCTGGGTGACTGATGGACAGGAATCCTGTCACAACACTGTCTCTTACTTTAGTGAACCCTCCCATTCTATCCCAAGTCTGTTCACAAGATCACCTTCCCTAATCTTATCTTTATCTTTTTGTTAAATGTTAACAGACTTCCTTCTAGACCCTGCTCTGTGAATTGTTTCCATTCACCAACTTCTTCAATACAGCCTCAGCACTAAGGAGGCAGAAGCTGGTGGATCTCTGTAAGTTTGAGACCAGCCTGGTCTACACAGTGAGTCAAGTCGACTGTGAGAATCCCTCTCAGTGAGTAAAAACACATGAATGAAGCCTCAAAAAATAAAAATTAATCATATTATACTTCTATGTTTTTTTTTGTTTTGCTATATGGTTTCATATAGACCAGGCTGACCTCCAACTCAAAGATGTAATTAAAGGTGACCTTGAACTCCTTTCCCGTGTCCTACATGCATCTCCCAAGTGTAGGCACCCACAGACATGCATATACAACACACACACACGCCAAAACAAGAAAAAAAAGGGAAGAAAGAAAAAAAAAAAACAAAAACCTCACTCATAGAGAAGGTCAGTGATGGTGACACCTGTCTGCATTCCCAGTAGTGGGGAGACAGGACTGCCAAAAGATGGAACCCAGCCTGGTGCAGGCTTGGTCTATACAGACAAAAAAGTGTCATGCTTGGGATACAAACTAAACAAAACAAAAACCAAACACTGGTAATTTGTAAGAAGACTCTATCACTAAGTAGTTTTCAATCAAAGGTTATTAGAATCTTTACTTCTTTGCCTTTTTTCTTTGAATGGCGAGTTGCTATCTACAATCAATAAAAGTTGTTTTTCAATCCTAGGAAACTGGTTGCTAACTAGTTACTAATGGCACCACTGCAGCAGACTACTAAGTAAACTAAATCCTATCTTGTGAAAGGGCCATCTACAAAAAGAATTCCTAGGCGGGGCAGTGGTGGCACACGCCTTTAATCTCAGCATTCCGGAGGCAGAGGCAGTGGCAGGCGGATCTCTGCGAGTTCAAGGCCAGCCTGGTCTAGAAGAGCTAGTTCTAGGACAGGAACCAAAAAAAGCTAAGGAGAAACCCTGTCTCGAAAAAATCCAAAAAGAATTCCTAACATTAGAAAACGGCAGAGGGGAAAAAAGAAAAATCTCTGCCCTTTCGCTTATGTATGTATAGTTTGCAAGTCATTTAATAAAAGAAAACACCATAAAAAGAATTCTGGAAGTTTTGAGACGTTATTATTATTTAGTAACTCCAAAACAAACAACAGCAACAAAACAAACCCACAAAACTGAAGGCTAACTATCTCAAGCCAAATTACAATTACCTAGAGCTTGGATTATTCTCACTCTCCACACCTGAATCTTGATGTGGGAGTGATTTCTTATTAATAAAGAAACTGCCTCGGCCCTCATAGGACAGAAAATTAGGTAGGCGGAGTAGACAGAGGAGAATGCTGAGAAAAAGAAGCTGAGTGAGTGAGTCGCCATGATGCTCCCACTCCAGACAGAGGCAGGTTAAGATCCTCTCTGGTAAGCCAGCTCATGGGCTACACAGAATATTAGAAATG